GGGCTTCGGTGGCCGGAGGTGGTGGTGCGTTTTTGCAGATTGGGGGAGAGGCTCCGGGTCGCGCGAGAGAGAAAGAGAGAGAGAGAGAGAGACGGAGAGATTTTTATCAAATCCTTTTCGCCAAAATTATGGTTATGCCATTGAGGGTATTTTGATCGTATCTCTCTCGTTACAACTCCGATTCGAGCCCACTACGTGTCTACGGACTCATCTCATCGTGCTCTACGCAACAGTACAATCGAAATGCCCAAATTTCTTTCTGGTCAAAAAGTCAACTTCAAACATAATAAAATATTTTAGGGACAAAAGGGTCTTTGATCATGTTTAATTTATAATTAAACATTTATTTAGGACCGGGTCGTTACAATTCCCCTACAAGCCTAGAAGATAACTACGTGACAACCTAGGTACTCAGAAGGATCCATCAATCACAAGTAGATTCTTACAAAAAAAGTAATCACAAGCTCAAACAATCTTAGGTAAGAAATTAGCACTACCTCCCTATGCAACATTCTTCTCCAAACTTAATTAAGCTAGCAGCTTGTCCTTCATGGAAATGGCAACTAGTCAATCAGCTTCTTCACCCTATGGCACATCAACTCAACTCCAGATAGAACAGAACAATGAAATATAGATTCTGAGATGAAACAGTCAATTTCTTCAAGAAATTAACCAAGAATTTGATCTAGACTAAAGAAGATGACTAGTCAAAATGAACCCAGATGCAGATTTTAAAAGTACAATAGATTTCAAAAAACCATTTTCAAAATCTCACAATGAAAAACCTAGACATCACTAAGTAGAGAATGCAGAGTAAAATTACTCTACAAAATTCTCAATGGGTGAAGTAGATTTCGAAAATAGAGCAGATTTCAAAAGCTATTTGAAAACCTAATTTCCAGAAGCCATGAACACTCTCAGACAACCCAAATAGAAACCTTAATTTTCCAAAATGGTGCAAATGAAAGAGATGATAGATTGAAACTTAGATGTGCAACGATTAAGAGTGAAAGTCCAAAAGCCCGAAAGAGAGCCTTCTTCAGTTCTTCTTCGCCTTCTTAATTCTCCCCATATGTTTATCTAAAACCCATCTCTATCTCTCCGAAATCCCAAACCTTTCAAAGCCATGCTTGTGCAATCTCAAATCGTTGTATTTATTGTTTACAATTTTGTCTGAAAGTCTTTGCCTTTTTTTACACCATTGCCATAAATAAAAACCCTAGCCTCACTTGTTGCTGAAAACCCAATTCAAAGCTTCATAATAGCTTTTCTGTCTGAAAATTGCTTCTTGTAGCAATTTGATGTTGGGGGTAGTATGTCGATGATAGTTGGGGGAAATGCAAAGGTATCATGCCACCAGCTACACTAGTGCAGTTAATAACAATGTCAGAGGTGGGACATCAGGGAGGGATTCTGTGTGAGCTGATTCAGCTGCATTGCCTGCTAACTTATCTCTAGCTTCTAGGCGCACATCGCAGTTAAACCCTTACAAGTTGAAGAAACCGGCTAGTGACCCTCACCTCATAGGATGAGTGTAAGTCGGTGTCAACGGATGGGCAGAAACCAGCTAGTGAGGAGTGTGAGACACATCCCTAGATTTTTTAGGATTGAAGCCAAAACCTTTTGTATTAAGATTGATGATTTATCTTTTGGGGGTTTATCTTGATTAATGAGAGTCTCATTTTCCACATATCCGTCGAACTGGGTTGTGTATTGTGGATTTTAAAACAGCTACAAGATGCTATGGGCAGGAACGAATAGAAATTCTTTCAAAAATTTAGAGGAAACTCCTATCGACTGTGGATGGAGAAGTCATGCAACAAGAACGGATGTTTTCTGAGGTTGTCCAAATGTCTGTGTTGTTGGTTGTAATTTCACAAGGTAGAGGAGGGCTGGGGTGGATAAAGCTAGAGGAAAGTTTAGCTGTATTGTTATTCGGCAAAAGCTTCGTAAAGAAAAGATCTGATCCTAGGGGAGAGGAACAGAATGAGTTGCATGATAAACCTAGAATTTCAGCTAAGTCTTATAAGGAGGCGGTAGAACAAAATGGTATAGTGGGAACAAAAGTGGAGAAGAAAAAAGAATATACTTTAGTAGAACAACACAAATCATCTCAGATGGTCATGGGAGGTGATGAACAAAACTCGAGTTGGGTGGTAGCCTGTGAGAGGAGTACATCAGACTTGGAAGAATATTGAAAAAGCTTTGGGCAGCTGGCTTCAATTCGTAGTAGAGTTATTTCCAAATCAAAATAACAAGGCATTCTTTGTTTGTAATAGTAAATATGAGGCAACAAGAGTAGGGGGAGCAAGTAAATTGAAGGTGGACAAACAACCAGAGGTGTTATTATGGTGTTGGGAGCAAAGCTTGAAGAACAACATAACAAAAGTGGTAAGCTACGGCGGTTGGATTGCTGTCACTAGGCTTTCGATACATTTGTGGTCCAAAAAGTATTTTGAACGAATTGGTGATTCTTGTGGGGGTCTGCTAGAGGTGAGTTGAAAGACAGAGAAGCTTAAATACCATTTTGAAGCCAAACTGAAGGTCAGGAAAAATATGTTTGGATGTTTACCCAAATTACTCAGATTAGCAAAAGGAAACGAGGTCTATTATGTTCAGATCAGACCAATTTCACCTACAATTTTGCCAATCCAGCCAGATCGTAATAACCCAGTGAAATTTAATCTGGTGTTGACTTAGGTTAGAGCAAACTGCATGGAGAAACAGTAGATAAAAGAAGGCGGACCGTTGTTCGAGGGTGCCTCGACAGATGGTAGACATACAGAAAAAAGGAACGCATGCCTGACCACTGATTCCCAAGTCATGCGGAAACCACCGGTGGTCTTTGGCACCATCAAGGAAGCTTTCACACTTGACGAAGAATCAAGTGCAGCACCAAAAGAAAATGTGAACGTGGAAGATTGGGACACATGGCTGATCAAAGATGCCATAATGGGTTTCAAAGGATCTAAAGTTGGGCCTAGAGCAATATTCAATAAGGTCTAAGAGCTGGGAACGGCAATGGGTCTGATCCATCATAATGAAATGGGGGAAAAGGTTAGGAAAGCCCAGGACTATTTGCTTCTGCCAATAAACAGGCCCATTTGTGACAGTGACTTTGGAATGGGCTTGAGAAACAAGTGGGTCGATTTAAAATCTCCTACCTCATATTCAAATTTTTTACAAAATTTGGGCTGAACAAAAGCAAAGGTAGGGGACTATCACGTTTATCTCCCTCTGAATTTGGGAATCAGCGTGAGAAAGATAAGGAAATGGTATAATATCCCACATCGACCAATAGAGAGGGAGTGATGTACCTTATATGTACATGCCCACCTCCATCTAGCACTATGCCTTTTGGGAGCTCACTGGCTTCAGAGTCATAGGAATTCCGAAGTGAAGCGAATTGGGACTAAAGCAATCCTAGGATGGGTGACCTACTGGGAAGTTGCTATGAGTTTTCAGAAACAAAACCGTGAGGGCAGAGAGGAGAGCCCAAAGCCGACAATATCGTGCTACAGCAGAGCCGAGAGGAGCAGATTGCAGACATCTTCACTAAGGCACTTCCAAGAAAATTTAAATACAAATTTAAATTCTGATTAATTCCTTAAAAGATTAAACATTGCTATAATCCAATTCAGTTTTTAAGTCCCTTTTTTTTCCCTGCATTTATGATATTTTGTGAAACCCCGTATTTATAAAATTATATACTTTGAAGATTTAATATTTTGCCGTTTAATTTATATATATATATATATATATATATATATATGTATATAGGTACATAAACTTCAAAATATGAATGATACAACATTGGAAGAGATTTGCGGCTATCTCAAGCCAAAGATCTTCGAGGAGAATGAGATGGTGGTTGAAGCGGGACAGCCACTTAACGCAATGCTTATTATTATAGCAGGCTCTATGCAGGCGTACCGGCCAATTAGGGATGCTGGAGACGCACATCCCTCAACCTCATTTGAAACTCTTAATGAATATATGTTTGTTGGAGAACAACTTTTGGAATGGGCAGCGAAAACCATAACTTTCGATGACCAACCTGTTTTGATGAAAACTATTCGATGTTCCGGAAAGGTAAAGGCCTTTGCTCTCACAGTTGATGACTTGAAAACTTTAATGCTCAAAACAGACATCTTCCCGAAGTCAACAGGTGCAGTTTAGACAATCCTTGAAACTTGAAATAGTTGGCGCTTGTTTTTATTATTTTATTATTTTTATAATGTACTTGGCACTAATTTGAAACAGTTGGCATTATCAAAATTGCTGCAACGAAGATACAGGAGAAATTAAAGGCGATATTTTTGTGGATGGAAATAAAT